GCCAGTGCCACTGAGATGTGCTCTTACAGAGGTAACAGTTTTGTATTTTTATGTATGCTGTGGCTGATGCTGAGATGTTTTGTAGACACGGTATCATCGTACAACAGACTGATTGAAGCATTAAAGCCTGGTACTTGTGGTACTTATAAGATATAAATGTAAGCCTATTTACTGCTTTGAATTATGTTATTATATTTATTTTTTAGTCAAGTCCCTTTCACACCGCCTGTTGTAGCCGTTGAAATTAATGGTTTATTTTTTTCTTTTTATTATGGCTATATATTTTGCTATTCATTATAGAGACTGCTTATGTACCATCCACTTTTTCTGGGTGCAAGCTAGTGTGGGTGAGTTTTCAGTCAATTAAGTCTTCCAACCACTATTTGAACACTTTTTATGTCATTAATTGATTGTTTTGGTTTTTTGTTGTTGCTTTATAAAGTTAGAAACATTTTTGGAAAGATTTTCAGTGCGTAAAATGAATTAATCAGAGTTTTTAAATGACAAGTTCTTGAAAAGGGACCAAACCACTTATTAAGTGCTTATGGCTTTTAATGTCAAAAAGCCGAGACACCACCGGGGTTGCAGATGAAAAAAAAAGACTAAAGAGAGAGTCAGACAAACCTTGAGAATACTTCTTAGCGACAACTTATTGTTTTTTTTTAATTTAATTGGACACACAAAGGTAATTAGTCAGATTTACTTGTGTCTTAAAGGTCCAGTGTGTAACATTGAGGAGGATCTATTGTCAGAAATGGAATATAATATTGATAGTTTTCATTAGTGTATAATCACCTAAATATTGGAATCTTTGTTTTCTTGTTACCTTAGAATGAGCTGTTTTTATCTACAGAGGCTGCAGGTCACCCTCTGTGGAGTCCGCCATATTAAACGCCATGTTTCTACAGTAGCCCAGAATGGACAAACCAAACATTGGCTCTAGATAGGGCTGTTGCATGAGGGCCACAGCACAGTGTTGCTTTTAGCTGGGATTAAGTGTTCAGCTTCATGTTCATATTTGTCTAATATTATCTTTTTGCTCTTTATTTGTCAAATATTCCACGTTGTGTCCAGGTTTGTGGTTGGTCGTATGCTGCAAACACTACCTCACTGGAACGGGAAACCTTGGGTTGATTTTCTGAGTTGAAAATCATGTTTGTGTGACCACTTAAGCACCCGGTATACTAGACGCAGACCAACTGTCGCGAGACAACATGACGTCACAGGAGCGCTGTGACTATATATACTTGCGCGTGGTGGTCGCGGCACTAGTTGCAGTCTTCTCCTGAACAGAGGTGTCGCTAGTGAGGAAAGGCTACCGACTTTGCTGTTTCTACGCACTAGAAAAAGAAGAAAAAGTTTTCTTTTTTTTTTCAAAATTGGTTGCGGAGGTTCTTCCAAATTTTCCAGCATATCTCCTCCTCTTTTCCAACATTCATGGTGATTTCTCGCCATGAATTCTGGCACCTCTGTGCTCCTTCATTGAAGGATCGTACAGATCATCCAGATTCCTGTTTCCGTCGCGCGACCGGGCCAAAATCCTGGCGCGCCAGCGAGATCTACGTCATTTTGACGTCACGTCAACAGGTCGACTGCGGCGAGTATACGGGGCGCTTTAGGCAGAATGCTGATGTTGGGTTTAGTGATAGCCAGATAAGTAAAATAGATCCTGGGTATTTTGAACAGCAGATAGAAACATAAAACAGGGTTTCCACACACCCTAAAGCTTGTCTAATTAGAGACAAGCTTTCCAGTCAGTGAAACACCTGGAAATTGATTAAAATGACCAAAAATCCTGGATATAATCTTTGTTGTCCTGGAAAATTTTAATAGTATTTTAGCCCCTCACTCAGATAGCTTACATCACTTGGCTTATTTTGGTGAAACAAGACTCCTACAAGGTAGGACGAGCTGTGTGCTATGATAATTCAGAGCGGAGGGAGTAGAACGGACTCGTAGCGATCTTTTCTTTGTCTAGTTATCTATGTTACAGTTAGAGGAAAAACTAAAGTAAACTGCAGTCAACTGGCAGGAGACTGCAGCAGAAAATCTGCTGTGGTGAGAATATGAAAGCAAATGAAAAAAGAGAATTGTCCCATAAATGTTTACCACCTACCTGTAATGAACCTGAGACGCTTTACATGTCTCAGTAGTAGGTAAACTATATGACTGTGAGCAAGTGCTTTCCTGGAAAGTGATTTCTTATAAAGAGTGTGAACCCTGAAAACAAAATGACGTGAAGTATCAGAGACAGCCACAGACATGACTAAATAGATTATAAGATAAAAGTCTGTATTATATTTGGTGTTATGATGATGGTGAGGAGCACTGTCTTACATGCTGTTCCAAAATCTTCCACAGGTGATCAACTGGATGAGATCTTCTGCAAAGGCTGTAGAATTGTATTCATTTTCATACTCATCAGACCATTCGGTGGTGCATTGAAGCATCTGCAATTGATACGTTCCTCCTAGAACTTCACTGTTTGCCCAAACCCAACACAACCTGTTGAACCAAAAACAACTGCCATGGGTCAGAGCATCTCCAAAGCTCTTGTGGGGTGTTCCCGGTCTGCAGAGGTCAGTACCTATCAAAAGTGCTCCAAGTAAAGGAAAAGAACCGGAGACAGCGGTCCGATCCAACAGACGAGCTACTGTAGCTCAAACTGCTGAAACAGTTCATGCTGGTTCTGATAGAAAGGGGTCAGAACACACAGTGCAGAGCAGTCTGTTGGTATGGGTCTGCAGAACATTAGGACCACCTGGGCACCCTGGTGGTCATAATGTTATGGTGGATCAGTGTATGTTTGGTATGGTAGAAATATGTTGGTTGTACTTTCTACTGATGAGGCAGACTGCTGCGATTTTCATAGCCCTAATAGCCATTTTGAAATAATTTTGTACAGCTGTCAATGAATCCAAACCTAGCTAGTTAACTTAATAAGGGCATTTGTTGACAAAGCAGTGGAGAAAAAAAAGACATTATTTGCTTTTGAAAATGTCAAAATAAAGTGATTCATCAATATGTGCTTGCAGTGTCTATGAGCAAGAGCTTCAACTTACATTAAACCTGTCTGCAGAGAACAATCCTCATTGAGTTACATCTGAACGATTTCCATATCTGTGTTGTACTGTCGTATTTATGACAAAGCAGAATGGAGATTGTGAGAGATGAAACAGCAAAGTAATCCAGTTATTTTTATGTTATAAACAAGATTAAATAATATTGCGCTGCCAGAAAATACACTGGATATCATCAACCCTCATGAGACCACTTTTACAAGACTTAGATTGAATAAAAAGGCGACTCAAAGGGATATTATTTTATTATATTGGACTGGTTATAGGCTATATCTATAAAAGCAAAATCACTTTTGTTCCTTCCACCCCGCTGAGTTTGGTCTGAGCAAGACACACAAAGAGGACTTTGATTCCCTCTTCAGAGAAGCAATAGAGTTATATCTTGTAATTGGAACATTGTTGGTGTTCATCATGCTGTGAGACCACTGGCAGGTTAGCACTTCAGGCTCATCACGCTGTCGTAAAGTTTAAAAAGATTTCATGTCAAAAACCTTTTCAGGAGGCGAGTTTGTTTAACTTCACATGGATGGAATGAAACTCAGACATTTGAGTTTATTCTGCTGTAGCTCTTGTTGTAAAATGACTGGCTCTGTCACTCATTTCATTATCAAAATCATACAAAATGTCCTCATTACGTTGGAAAGAACCAGCAGTACTGTAATCACAGTAGTGGTTTATGAGTTGTGGAGGTTGTAAGAAAAGTATTCATACGTCCCAAAACCTCGAGGCATGAATTTGCATTAATATCTCACAGATCTGTCACCAGAGTGCATCTCCTGCCATTCATTTAAAGACACAACGAGGTAACAGGCAGCTTGACTGGCACCGCAGTTACCAGACTTGCCCTGCATTTTTGCTCTTTTACAGCTTTTCTCTGATAACAAGGTTTTACTGGAAGGAGCCCAGGATCTAACACATGCAGATATTGATGCCATTGTGCTGAGACAGTATGAATCCTTATCAGTTCTGACAGCAGTGACACTGAATATTCTTGTTTATTAAACATGGCTGCTACTGGTGCAGAGGAAGAACTGACAGAAATAGTTGGCTTTATGATGAGATTTAATGTCTATTGTATTATATTGGACTGATCAGGTTAACGCAGATTGATGCAGGTTTGAACACACCTGTGTGTATTATTTCTCTCCTTCTTCGGAATGATTACTGTCAGTTATCTATGGTTTCAACTAATATATTTTTTAAAGCTGCAGTACTTTTTTTTTTTTTTTGCCAGCAGATAAGAAATGTACTTTTTACAACTGTGTTTGAATAACCTTGTGTGGTAGCTGAACTAGTGAGACCACAAAATCACAAGTTCAAACGAGAAAACATCTTGCCAGCCTTTTCGTCTGTTACAATTATTAAACCATTTATTTAAATTTTTTAGTTTAACACACTTTGGTCAGCAATATTTTTTTATATGTGTCCTGTGTACATATGAATAAATGATGTAAATGAAGCACCATCATTCATTTGGAGTCGTATAATATTGACTAGTGCAGCTTTAAATCTATAAAATGTAACATTTCCGCAATCAAACGTTAGCTCTATGTTCTTTATGTAGTTGAGTTGTGTTCTTCCATTAACCCAAATGTTTCCAACAATGTTCAAACTCAGAGAAATCTGTCATTTTATTCAGGTAACACTGATTTTTTAGGTGGAACTGCTTTATTCAGTGTTTTTAGTGGTTTTAATCAGCTGGTCTGCTCGCTTTTGGAGAAGAGGAGACCTCTGTGAAGAATTGGATGAAGACAACAACTCCCATGATCCCACGCTACTTCACAATGTCTTTAAACTTTTTCTTTTGCTGTTTAGATGTGAGAAACCCCCCAGCGGCATGTTTAAATGGAAAAAACAAGAACCAAACAGTGACTGTAATGTATGGCAATCATAGTAAGAACAAATGATTGGCAACTTGAATTCACATTTAACCAGTTTATGGACATTTTTGCAATCTCTCAATCAAATGATACGATGACTATATACCACAATAGTGACTACTGTATGCTGAACCTCCAGTAAGGTCAGAAAACATATCAAACAGGTTAACAATGCAGCCATCAATGGGATCATACATTGTAAAATCAACTGTTTAAATTAAAAAAATGAACAAGTGAACTGTGAATACTCCAAACTTTAAAATGCCCAGAGAATTATGCATTAAGGAGGATTATAGATAACATGTAATGCATACATCTTAAATCCTTTAACCATTAAATAACCTGAAATTTAAAAAAAAAATAAAAATAAAAACAACTTACACAGTCGGACATGGTGCCATATGCAAAAACACACCTTAAGTAAATTCCAGTATCAGTTCTCTTTTAATGGGGATTTTAAACAAATTGATCCAAGCTTATTGACATCAATACTTATCATGTTCATGTATCTGGGATGGAAAGGGTCACAATAACCCTTCAGTTTAGTTTTGCAGGCGTCTGAATCTCACCTGTCTATATATATTTTTTTTTTTGCAAACCCCTAAAAAGTGAAATAACACCCTGTGACATGGTCTGCAGCTGACTGGTTCACCATCATTACAAGCACATAACTGAACATGTGAGTACAACAAAAGCATTCCCACATACATTAATCTCCTCCCTGTTGTTTTGTCTTCAACACACTTCTTACTCATAGGTATGCACAGGAGTGAACTGGACAATAGCAGAACATCACACCATCAATCACTTTGTGCTTCATTTTAAGTATATTCTCGTCACTGGAAACTGTCTGAGGCAGACTAAAAAATATCCCTTGGAAATGCATCCACTGACCACAGAACACAACGATCACTTCTGCGATCCTTAAAGAGCGGTGTCTGCCATTTACTGTGGGCCAAACCAGGTTAAAAGCACACATTCATAACACCTGGAAAAAGGCATCATAGCAGCTACATGGAACACTCATTCAAGTTGACTTTGTTGGTGAAATATTCTAGCTTGTGTCATCTGGACCTTGGATGTGGACTGGAGCTGTGTGCCAGCTTTGTAGTTGAAAATGTCAAAACACCCCCGGCCTCCCCAGGTGTGTTTAGATTGAAGGAGTTTGAAATCAAGGACGTTTATCCAGCTTCTACACCGCTTAACATTAAAACCATTGCGTGATAAATACGATGAAGTTGACTGACAGAGCCTGTGCCAGCATAAATCCTGACTGTAAAATGAATTTCTATATTACATATCTCTGAAGAAGTTAATTAAAGAAACTCCATTCATCTATATTATACAAAATCTATTTTAAGACTTATGCTTGAGATAGTATTCTATCTCAATGAACACATCTGTTTTTATTGTTCTCAGAGTTATGTTATTGTAGAGTGATGTGCATACTTTTGACTTGCATTACCACACTTATGATGACTTAACCTTAACAACAGATGTGGAGCTCACTGTAATGAATAAAGCTAATTCTAAGTCACTATATTGACTTTTAATATCACACAGATATAAATTAAAAATTATTAATGCAGTCTGCCCAGTATTCTGTAAAATATTACTCTGAGCGGGAGTATGGAGTGGGCAAAAGAATGGATCTGCAAACAGAAGTTTAAGGAATTTCTACGTCCATTTATAGATAATTATAGGAGTGGAAATAGAGCTTGTGGCCGTGCACTCATTTCCAAAGTGGTTGAGATTAAAAAACAGAATCAGGCACGTTAGTACAGTTTTATAAATCTGACGAAAAAAATGCGCATATATATATTTCTCTCGTTGTACATACAGTTTTATGCATCTGGCCCCTGATGCCCCACTTTATGTGGAACTGCACAGCATTTTTATCCCGTCTCACATCCCACATACTGAGACAATGTCCCACATTTTGATTGGTTCTAGTTTTCAAAAGTCAAACCACTGCAGGACAGAGGCTTTCTAAGGTGATGAAGAAAGCAGGGAAGGCTGTCTTCAAGGGGGTGTGCTTGATGTTGATCAAACTGCACGCATGTGGGTCAAGTGCAGGTTAACCTGCTGCCTTTTTATGCTTTCTGTATTTAGCTAGCATGGGAGTTTAGATCAAATATATTTAAGTCTTTCACATGCTAAAGGCCTAACCTGTAACCTGGAGTCTTTAGTGTGCCACTGAATTAAAGTGAAATAGACATCATATTAAAATAGACTACCTCTTAGCATTGCTAACGTGTCCACATTGTCTCACACAAATATACTCTTCCTCTTCCTACATTTACTGAGTTGGGATCTGGTCATCCTGTGTGGGGTGGTGCCTGCTGAGATGGCTGCTTGAATTTCCCTCGGGATAAATAAAGTATCTATCTATCTATCTATCTATCTATGGGCCTGGGAATGTGTATGAGTAGCTTCTGCATGTACTGTGTGATGATGTAATCCGTGCTTTGTAGGTTTTATATGTAAGGATGTATTGGTTGTTTTGTAATGTTGACTATGTGTTGGTACAGGGTACTTTGTCATCTGACTTGAATCGCACTCTGTGTCTTCCTGGAAAGAGGACCACAATAGAATCAATCCTCAAACATTTTCAGTTATCATGTATTTGCAGCAGTGTGTGACCGATTTTATTTTTATTTTTTGATATGTCCAATAAATCAAATCAAACTTACCATCAGAGTAAATCATACTAAGTGCAGCATTAAAAGAGACTTAGGAGTTTGTGAAAAAATTGTTTTTCTTATTAAATTTAGTTTCCTTAATTAAGAGCAGCACTTACTGATAAGTCACTTTAATGCAGTGCTGCTAATTAGATTATCCACTAACCTGAAGCTTTTGAGATGCCATCCAGCACCACATGTAGGTAGCACTGCTGAATGAGTTTTAACTCTGAACATTTAATTCCATCAGTCAGTGTAGAGAGCAAAGCTGACCAACACTCCTGTCCTTACTGACACTCCACATAAATGTCTGACTGTCTCAGATTTTCAGTATAAAGATGGCCTGCAGCTGCTATGATGCTGTGTTTAGGTGTTTCAAAAATGCCATTTGACAAGTGTATGCATTTTGAAAAATAAAACGGTTATATGTACACATTTGTACATTTTCTACACACACTACGGTGAAAACAAAAATTTGGATGCACTATGCTGTAGGACATTGCCTGAGAAATCATGGTGTACTATTGATTATTCTGAACTGTTTATCATGAAGGATCTGTTACTCTGTTTTGCATACAACTGTAAAAATACAGTAAAATTCAACAATCACATTGCATTTTTTCCTTTTTTGTCATTTACTTAAAAAAGCTTAATGGTATTGTACAGATATTGAACAGGACGTGACACAATAATAATCTGAATGTACACTTCAATATTGGGCAATAAACAGTCAACTATCAACAGTTACATTTATTTTTTTTCTTTTTCCCTTTTCACATACAAAAAGGTTGGGGAGACACAAACTCAGTAGTTCTACCATCATCAAATTTAGTGCATGATTTTAACATTTTTCCCTTCCTCGGATTGACGGCTCTCACTCTTGGCGGACCAACAGAGAACAGACTCCGATGCAAAGCCAGATAGAAACAGAAAGAGGACTAAGGGGTGGAACCACTGGCGCTCTTGGGTTTCCGTTCTTCTTATAGGACTAATAGTCTGTTCTTGCTGTTCAATGCTGAGAGAAGCTTAAAGGTTTTCACATTTCACATCAGAACTTGAGCAGGCAGAGCAAGGGTACAGTCAGCAGGAGGCATACGGAGCAACGGGGCAACTCGGCGGCCCCGTTCACATCGTGCATCGCACCGGGACCTGCAGCAGAAAGACACACTCCATCACCAAGGTCAGGGTTACATACAAACCTGCACTCTGATTCATTATGGACTGTAATTAACTGCAGTTCATATGTTCGTGTGTTATTTCCCCGGCCAAATAATAGCTTTACATTGGTGCTGCAATCGCCATGGAAACTAGTAAATGATAGAAATAAAAAGGTAAATCAGTGAATAACGTACAGTGGGTGGCCTTCATGTCTGGATTTTAATTTAATGTGTGCAGCTGCTATCATGAAAAGAGGCAGCCACTAAAATAGTCAATAAATGAATAATAATTTAATCATAATTAACACTTCCATTCACACAAATGTGCTTTTTTTCCCTATGCTTCATTTCTTTCACATACTTACCATAAAGGATTATGCTGGCATTAGTGATTCCCATGGTGTTCATGGCAACACAAGTATAGTTTCCATAGTCTTCTTCCGAGACGTTGAAGAAGACGAGCATGGATTGTTTACCTTGATTCTCGATCTTAACTCCATTTATTCCATTAAAGAGCCTGTAAGAGAGAGGGGAGTAGCTATCACGGCCTTTGCTGCCGGTCGCCCCCCCCCATCGTGGCCCAGTTGTAGAAAAACGCGTGCTAAAGGGCCCTCTTGGAAGCCAAAACGTGTGCTAAACTGCCCTCAAGTGCCCTCTTGGAGCCAAAACGTGTGTTAAAGTGCCCTCTACAGTGGTGAGGACGCGCTATATGCGCTTTTTTTTCTTTCCGCCCCTGCCCTTCAAAAAGTCTGTGCACGCCACTGTTTAAACCCATGGTCTGTTAAGGCAAAATAAAATACCGCTCACTGCCTTCTTGAAGTAACTGTGCATGCATTTGTGTGCTTCATCCTTCAGTGCATGACAGCCTTCCTTCTGTTTCACTCATTGCATTTCCTATTCCTCTGCTACTGTTTCATTGCCTTATTTCATGTTTGCAGACGCCAGTCATGTATTTTATCACCATCGTTTTGGTCTTGAGGACTGATTTTGTCTTTTGGGGACTGATGAGCAATGCTGCTGTAACCGTCAGGGACCATTTAACAGTGCAACATAGGCTGTGTTTACATCAGCTCCCCAGTCTCTAGCTTTCAGTTGGAGAACACTGAATTATACTATAATATCCTCTAAACCTCCCAGCCGCACACCCCACTGACATAAACCAATTACAGTGTAAAAATAATAATAGCTGCCTTTGGTGTCCAATGCCTGTTTTGCAAATGATTGGACTAAAGATATTTTTAATGGAAATTATGAATTTTCATAATGTGATTAAAAACAGTATTTTGCCCACAGAGTGAAGAAAAATGCAGGGCATGAAGGATTATCTCATTACATCAAAAGCATGTCTTATATTAAACAAGGCTGTGTGTATAAAGCCATCACTTATCAACAAAAATGACACAGTCTGGCTTATTAAGTCCACAGCCTACAGCAGAATAGGTGTCTTTGTGTGTCTGTATTACTTACTTCAAACTATTCTAAGCCTTTAGGAATCACAGAGCTCAGAGAAAAAACTTGCCTGCGGTCTTCTTTGTACCACTCAAAATCTGCCCTGGGGACAGCAGAGGCTTCGCATTGCAGGACTCCTCTTTGTCCAACTGCAGTACCCGTACTCCTCGCTTTAGAAATGAAGGGAGGATCTATAAAACAGTGGAATGAGTTTTACATAGGCATCATATAGAAGACAAAACAACATGCGCTTGGTGTTTTGGGCTGTTCATACTCCTATTTCTTTAAAAGTTTATATATATGTTGTGTGTGTTGTGTATGTACAGACTGGGAGGGAGTTAAATTATTTGGGACAACATGCAGTTGAATCTTACAGTAGGTGCAAAGAAGACAAAACAGAAAAAATAATTTCTATTAAATTAACTAACTTCACAAAATCAGGCTTTATGTGAGGATGTATACAAGAAATGGCTATTGGCTTTTTAATGTTCCCCATAAGTCCTGGTCTCCACAATGAATGTGATAGTTCTTACAGTTGATGGTGACTTGCACTGTCCTGACATCGGGGCTCGAGATGTCATTAGACGCGATGCATTCATATGATCCTGACTGCTCTTTGGTGACTGCTATCAGTTCCAGATGTTCCCCCTCTGTCACAAATTTATGAGTGCCTGTAGAGAAGCAAAGAAACAGAGAAAGAAATGCATTATTAAATAAGTCCTAGTATTGGTAAATAAGAGAAATGCTCTGACCTTGATAGCATTTTCACTTCCTACATGAGCGATACTAGTGCAGATATTGTATTGAATTTCAGTAGCCTGTAATTGACACAAAGAGTATCACTGTATGTTGACCAGACCTGCTATTACCATAATGTGGCTTGTTTAGCCTGTAGGGCAGTGCCAGGGGTTATTTGTCCTGCAGCTGTCTGTCTTTCAGCTCTGCTAGCAGCCTGGCTTTAGCTATGGCAGTGCTGGTCGATGGCTCAGTCCAATACTCTTGATTCATTGCAAAACCTCATCAACCATCAGCTGTACTTTGTAAATTAATGCTAATTAGAAAACAGAGATGATTAACATTGTAAACATGATGCATAATAAACAGCATATCAACATTATTATTATCGGCATGTTAGCTTATAGGTCAAAGCACTGTATGCTCAGATGTCTGTAGAGACTTGCTGTCCTGTAAACCTTCTTACTGCCACTCTTACTGGACAGATACAGCGCACAGCCTCTTCATTGAACAAAAGCTTAACAAATGCAGTGGTTGGTGTGGTTTGCCCCTAAAATGGGTCAAGCTTTCAAAAGGTTGGTTCCCACTTTTCATCATCATCGCCTGGGAAACACACGTGCCATCATCCAGTCGGTACATTTGTAAAGCAGACTTTCTGTTAAAGAGAAAACTTCTACTGTTTCTTTTTAAATTAAGATGTTTCACAAGGATAATCCCAAGATTATCCTTATCTGTTAAGATATCATATAAAAAGAAGAGGTATCTGGCAATTTGTGCACAATTAGTGTGTAACAAACAGTGTATTAATAATGTCTTGTTAAAGTCTGTGCGTCCAAAAGTCCAAGGGGACTGGTGGATTAAAAATAAGCATATTTTTTTACCTTCCAAAATAAAGCTGTAAAATCTGTGCCCTTTTTGTGTCACACATACATTTGTTTCAGTACATTTCATTAAGATAACATGGAAAACAGTGGCACAAACATATACAGTAGTGTGTGAGTGTCAAAATCCAACATAGACAGCCGAGGAAAGATGAGAGCCTGTACATGACACCAATATACGATAGAGACTCTCAGCATATTGTTTTTTTATTACCTACTATTTTGGAACAAACATTTACCTGCCAGTGTGGCAGATAGCCTTCTGAGATTTACTCGCCGACAGAAAATCTGACAAATTTTCTAGGGCTACACGATATGGTAAAAACATTGTATTGAGATTATTTTGACATATATTGTGATTGTGATATGATTCACAATTATTGTGGGGATGATCATTATTGCATCACATAATTGTATTGTAGGTCAGGGCATCTCTTTCGAACTACAGTACTCCATTATAATGCTGTTTGTCATATTTTATCTTCTGGGATTTGGATATTACATCAGGCCATAATATTATGAATAATTAATATGACAATATTTTGATTCATTGTCTAGCCCTATAATTTTCTCAAGAATCGATGAAACAAATCTGCAGAAGACATACATATACAACTGTTTTGAACAGACAAGGCAGTAATAAACATGGCTGGTAAATAGACTGTGACATATAAAAGCAGTGGGTTGTTTCTTTTTAAGCAGTGCACATGCACGCTACAGCAGTGCTTGATTGTTAATTAAAGTGGACCTATTTTGCTAATTTTACAGCTCTGTATTCTGAGTGAGAGTAGCTTTGCATAATTCACTCTTCAAAACATCCTTATTTATCTTAAAGTGGCCTTTCATGCAGCCCCTCAGTTCACCCTCGGTCTGAAACAAGCCATCTCTTAAAGCCCCTCCCTACTTAAAAGCCCACTGCCAACTTCACGGATAGTATCCCGAGGGGCAGCACCTTGTGCTTGTGACTTCTGCTTCATCCTCACGCGCTCAACGGCATGACAGCTTCAATACCTTAGCTCGGACAATAGCAATATGAGTGAGGCTCTGAGTTTGATGAAGTTACTGTTTATCAGTGTTTGTGGGCTGGGTGTCAGAAATGAACATTGTGGATTTAATAGTTAATGTATTGACTTGGTGTTGCTGGAAATCCCAAGGCATTGACATATGATTAACACTTGAATTGTCACCAGTTATTGATCTGTGTGCTTGATGGTATATAAGGCAAGGCATTTTGAAAGTCTGGGAGAGAATAACCATGCTGAGGTCCTCTCTTACATATGTTTACTTCATTATTTGAAACTTTGGCCTTGTGTAAAGTTCCAGTGTGTGACATTTATCGGGATGGATCAGCATAAGTGGAATACAATATTCATATTTATTTTTTCCATTAGTGTATAATCATCTGAATATAGGAAATATGTTTATCTATATCTACCGATGCTATGGGTCGCCTTCCATGGAGTCCACCATGTTCATTCAGTAGCCCAGAAAGGACAAACCAAACACTGGTTCTACATAGGGGCATTCACATTTCACAATAGTTTCTCCTTTGTGCTTGGAAGGGGAAGGTGAATTTACAGTAACACCAATAGATGCCACTAAAGCCTAAACACTGGATCTTTTTAAAAAATAAAAATAAAAATAGGTATCTTATCTTTAAATGTAAAGGAAAGGACTGTGACTGCTGTGCAGATAATGTATGCTTTTGTGCTGGTGGGATGTTAAAAAAACAGTCACCCTTTAAATAGAGAACTACAAGAATAATCCAAAGTAGAGTAGAAACTGGCTGATGAAATAAGACATTAGGAATACACAGTTTGTTACACATTAATTGTGCACAAATTGCCAGATACCTCTTCTTTTTATATGATGTCTTAAAAGATAAGGATAATCTTGGAATTATCCTTGTCAAATATCTTAATTTAAAAAGAAACAGACCACAGTAGCAGTCTGCCCCAGGAACTGTGATTTTCTCTGTTTCCTAATGCCTTCAATGACAGCTCAGGGCATGCACTCATTACACAAAGAAAATAAACTAATTGCTTCGAAACAAGCCCACTTGAGTAACACCAACATTTACCCCTGACACCAGCAATGTTAAAAGCATGTTCTGGTGACAGAGGGACCTTAAGCTATTGCTGTGTGGGTGGGAAAATGGATAGCAGCACTAATCCCAATCAGTAGAAATGTCAATCCAGCAATATCTCCACATTAGCATAATATCATTATGTTTTCCAAATCCTCAGCTGCAGACACTGTTGCAGCTGGCTGGGGATTCACTGAAAAGGTTGTGGGCTAGGGATAATCAGCTTGTTGCATAGAACCAGCGAACTGCTAGCACAGGTAATTGAACGTTTAATCATGGATAACTATATTAGACAGACTGTTGGTGACAGAATGCTGTTGAGTTACTAGCTTCGTACTGTCAGACTGCTTTAATGATGGCCGAGGGTGGAAGGAAGTTTACAATGTCAAATTATAATCTAATTAGCTCATTGCCTTGTAGTACACTGGATTATTACTTTCTAGATTACCTATACATTGCATTGTTGTTTATTGTGGTATACCAATGCCTTGAAAACCTACAATTACATTTATGTTTGCAATGTTTGCAATAAATCTAAGTAGATGGTAACTAGTATATGTTTTGAATTTCATGGCATAAATTGTTGGATATCTCAGTCTGGGACATAGTGATGGACCCACTGGTGGACATTGCCATGGAAGAGCCACCTCTTCAGTGGCAGTTGACGGTGGCTCATGGTTAGCGGCAAGTGTGAACACTTGGCTATGCTTGGTTTTGGACTCGTTCGTAGCAGGAAACGATAACGCCTTGACTGGTCACGCACAATCTGGTATTCCAGATAAACAGTGCACTAAAATATGTTTCTGATGAGATTTTTAGCAAGAAATGGGCAATGCAGTAACAAAATCTTCAGCACTGCCTAGTTTGTGCATTGACCTGGACGGACTCAGTAAGAAAGACCTGTTAATCACAAGGTAGCCACGCCCTAAAGCATACCCTGCTTTATGGTCCCTGCTAAATGGGACCATAATTTACTAAATGAACATCATGCTGTATGGAAGAAGACTGAAACTAGAAATTGATTCAACACACTCATATCAGTCATATTTTGGAATCTTTCCCGCCAAAAACCAACAGATGCTTCAAAAAGTAATATGATAGAACATTTCAGTATTCTTAAAATTCCACCTTGGTTCACAGGGCCACTGATAAAAAAACAAAACAACAAATTTTGGTTTGAAATGTTCTGTTTCTCGATCTGAATGCCTGTTTCTGTCATTAAAACATTGTCTCTTACTTTGTATACAAAACTTTCAAAAGTGATTCAGTGTGTGCTGACAGCCTGAAACACTGCAAGTTTTTGTTTAAACAGATAAAGACAAGTACTGGTGTGTGGGTTTTTTAAAACATTCTGCTGTTTCAAACACAGTTCCCACAGCTGAGACTAGACGTCTGTGTGCATGTGTGTGTGTGTGTGTGTGTGTGTGTGTGTGTGTGTGTGTGTGTGTGTGTGTGGGCTCATGACGACATTGTTAACATTAAAGTTTTAGCATTGAAACAACAGTTTGAGAACAGAACAGCTGAATAGAATACAATCAATTAACTATTGATTCCTGTTGACAAAACATGTTCATTGCACAGCATTGTACTGTAATAAGCAGAAGAGTTGACAAAAAGAACAAGATAATGACCAGACATGCTTACAATCCAAGTACTAAAATAGAAATGTCAATCTGAATTACCCAGATGAATGAATATAGAGAAGTCATAATCATCACCGGATGAATGAATATAAAAACAATCACCATCATCATCAACACCCACATCAGTGGTCTGCAGCGACGGCCATAATTCCAGCACAACATCAGTGTCAGTATAGCATGACTAGATGACTAATAAGAGAGCCATTAAAGTACCGGGTGGCAGACGGCACAAATGAGCGTCTAAAAGCACTCAGCGGAGCACCTCAGCAATATTAGCCATTAGCTTAAGGAGCTCTGCTGCCTAGACACCACTCTGCTGCTTTTGT